TTGTTGCGCATACGAGTGCTGATTCTGCACAACTGCTGCAGTTTGATGGGGTTGCCAGACAGCACAACAAACCTTGCTGAGTTGGAGGAGTTGGATTTGCAGCAGTGCAAGCAGTTGGCAGGCCTTCCTAGTGCCCTTGGCTCCTGTTGCCTGAAGCTGAGGATATTGAGACTTCAGGGGATTGAACGCATGGCATTCCCACAGTTTGCAAGCAGCCTGGAGTGCCTTGAGGTTCTGGGTCTTCCGAAAGGATGTGAAGTGCCCGAGGGCTGCAAAAAGCATTTTGATGAGTTTGAAGTATCACTGGAGCAAGCTGGATCTGGCGTGTTGTGCGGGGACAGCTTCATATTTGTGAGTTGAAGGTCCAAGGCCGACTTTTCTCACCATCAGATTTACTTCAGATTATCACGTCAGGGGATCTGCTTCAGATTTACTGTCAGAAGCAATTGAGATTTTGTGGTTCCTGAGAATGCTGCGTGTGTGTTGCAGAGCACTCCTCTCCACTGGGCAGCTGCACTTGGCATGGACAAGATGGCTGCCTTTCATTTGAAAGAAGTAGATGTGGAGTTTAGGGGCAAGGTGGGCCTTGGGCACATCCCGGCAATGATGCTGATGGTGATACTGGCACTAGGACAGCATATGTCTTGCAGATGTGTAACTGTTTGGCCACAGAATCAACATTGCACATGATACACACAACGGTATTCCTACCTGTTTACTTGCTGCCTCAATGATCTCGCTGGTGTCTGCCACTGGGAGCCAGCACAGTCGATGTTGAAACACAACAAGGGAACAACAATATCTACTAATAGGTGTGTCCAAGGAGGCGTCGGGTTGGTGTGTGCTGGAGGAGTGTGGTGGCAAGGCCCATGCCTTGGTGCACCCAGCTAGGCTTGCGCCGTGCATAGGATGCTGCCAACAAAATACAGCCAAGGCAACGGAAAAGACACTGTCTGTGAATGTCAGCGGCCTTACCAGGCTTTGCATTGATTGGCAGATCAAAAAGAGTGCTACAAATGTCAGGCAGAGGGGGAGGAGGGTGGGATTACTTGTGCACCAATTTCGCAACTCAGCCCTTGGATGACAACATCTTGTGTCTATGCTGACCAACTGGGCGTGGCAATGTTTGACAGCAACATCCTTTTAGGCATTTGAGCATGCAGCAGGCAGATGGTGTTGCAGAAAATGGCCGTAGAGCAAACAATGGCGATGTGTCTGTACAATCACTAGCTGGGCTAATGACATTGGCACATCTGTATTTCTTTGCAATGCTGTTGCCCCAGCTCTGGGAGGCTGTTCCCGATGAACTTGATGTAGTTAAGATGGCAAATGTATTTTGAGATCGATAATGGTGTCCAGGATGGCAGTTGGACTCGATGCCACAACAAACTTGTGTGGCAATTTGTCAGTGGCAGATCACTTCCAAGCCTACTTCTTGCTTCACATGCCAGCAAACAGGATATTTATTGCACAACTTGCCTGTAATGCATTCCAGAGACATTGCAGGTGCATGGTTCATGATCCATCCATCGAACATCCGTGCTGAGTTGGGTTGCCTTCCGAGCTGTCTTTTCCTGCAAATTGAGATGCAGTTCTTGCCAATATCTCAGAAAGAACTGTTGTCTTTGCCTGTGCGGGGCCAGTGCATTGCCATTCCAATTGTAACAAACAGTGATGACTGACATTGAAAGCTTTCCAAACCCTCCCTGGTGTGGAGAATGCTTTCCATGATGCGCAGGCCGGTGATACGCCCCTCTATTGGGCTGCACAGTATAGCCACAACAGCACGGCAGCACTGCTTTTGGAGCACGGTGCAACTGTGAATGCCACCAGCAAGGTCAGACCTGGTCTTCTGTTTTGTCGGTTCACGGGCCATGATTTAATACATTCATCACATCCTTTTGCCTATTTGGGTATGCGGCGCCGTGCTTCCCTATCTGGCATGTGTTGGCCACTGCGCGGCCAGCATGCTACTGCTCCAAGTCTCCAGCCCCACACTGACTGACACTGAAAGCTTTCTTGCCAAACCCTCTCTGATGTGGAGAATGCTTTCCATGATGCGCAGGGTGGTGCGACGCCCCTCTTTGGGGCTGTACGGAATGGCCACAACAGCACCGCAGCACTGCTTTTGGAGCACGGTGCAACTGTGGATGCCACCAACGAGGTGAGGCCTGGTCTTGCGTACTTTCACTTCACGGGCCATCGATGCGCGTGTGGATGCATGAAATCCGTCCATCACATCCTTTTGCCAATTTGGGTATGCGGCGCAGTGCTTCCCTGTTTGGCAAGGGGTTTTGTTGCATGTGTTGGCCACTGCGGGGCCAGCATGCTACTGCTCCAAGTCTGCAGCCCCACACTGACTGACACTGAAAGCTTCCCTGCCAAACCCTATCTGGTGTGGAGAATGCTTTCCATGATGTGCAGGATTGGGAGACACCCCTGTTCCTGGCTGCAAAGCACGGCCACACAAGCACTGCGGCCCTGCTTTTGGAGCACGGTGCAACAGTGGATGCCATCAACAAGGTCGGCCCTGTTCTTTTGTACTTCCACTTCACAGGTTATCCAATTGCATTTTGATGCATGATTCGAAATCCATCCATCATGTCCTTTTGCCCGTTTATGGCTCTCCTCAGAGCTGTCATTTGGGGTATGCAGCGCAGTGCTTCCCTATTTCGCAAGAGGGTCTGTTGCATGTGTTAGCCACTGCTGGCCTAGCATGCTACCATTCCAAGTCTGCCGCCCCGCACTGACTGACACTGATACCTTCCCTGCCAGACCCTCTTTAATGAGGATGACGAACTTTTCCATATTGACCCGGGTGGTGAAACACCCCTCTTCAATGCCGCACGTGACGGCCACACCAGCACTGTGGCACTGCTTTTGGAGCATGGTGCAGCAGTGGATGCCACCAAGAAGGTCAGACCCGGTCTTTGTACTTTCATTTTGCATGTCATTGATGCGCATATGGCTGCATCATTCGAAATGCATCCATCACATCCTTTTGCCCTTTTGTGGCTCTCCTCATAGCTGTTGGTTGGGATATGCGGCGCAGTGCTTCCCTGTTTGGCAAGGGGTTTTGTTGCATGTGTTGGCCACTGCGGGGCCAGCATGCTACTGCTCCAAGTCTGCAGCCCCACACTGACTGACATTGAAAGCTTTCCTGCCAAACCCTCTCTGGTGTGGAGAATGCTTTCCATGATGCGCAGGATGGTTGGACGCCCCTCTTTTGCGCTGCAATGAACGGCCACACCAGCACCGCAGCACTGCTTGTGGAGCACGGTGCAGCAGTGGATGCCACCGAAGATTTGGTGAGGCCTGGTCTTGTGTACTTTCACTTCACGGGCCATCGATGCGCTTGTGGATGCATGATTCGAAATCCATCCATCACATCCTTTTGCCCATTTTTGTATGCGGTGCAGTGCTTCCCTGTTTGGCAAGGGGGTCTGTTGCATGTGTTGGCCGCTGCGGGGCCGGCATGCTACTGCTCCAAGTCTGCAGCCCCACACTGACTGACATTGAAAGCTTTCCTGCCAAACCCTCTCTGATGTGGAGAATGCTTTCCGTGATGCGCAGCGTGGTGCAACGCCCCTCTTTTCGGCTGCAGAGCATGGCCACACCAGCACCGCAGCACTGCTTTTGGAGCACGGTGCAGCAGTGGATGCCACCAGAGAGGTGAGGCCTGGTCTTGTGTACTTTCACTTCATGGGCCGTTTGTGTTTACATTTGTACATTTGTACATGCCACCGATTTCCCAGGTGGATCTGTTGTCCAGACTCCGTCCATCATCAGGTGGATCCTATACGAAGTGTTGTCCGATACAGACCAGTCTCTCCAGCATAGCTGGAGCCCCTTTTGTGTGCACCAGTAGGGACAGCAATACAAAGTTGTGGCAAGTTGACTGGGCCGATCCTGTGTTATGTGGGGGGGCCCTCAGTCTAGAGCCTGGCTAAGTGTTCCCCACTTTTTCCATGTGTTTCCATGTGTTTTCTCATGGGTGTTCAGGGCACTCTTTTGCCAGACATGGTTATGCTGATTGGGTTGAGTCTTTGCGTGAAGTAAATGGTGTGCTTTGTTTTCTTCGTTGCATTGACCTGTATGTGTGTACACAGGATGGAAAAACCCCATTGCTAGCTGCACTCGTGTACAGAAGTTGCTTGAGTGGAAAACCCCATGATGAGTGTACTATTTTGGAGATTGTGGAGTTGCTGGCAGACGAAAGGGCTTCTTTGGATGCAGCTGACCAGGCAAGAAAAGCACCCACTGTTCATGTCAAGTAACTTTGTTTGTGTCTGTACCTTCTATCCAAAGTGACTGCAATGAACGCAGCTTCCCAGCATGGTATGACATTGTATTGATGCGCAGGGAGGGAAGACCCCCCTCATGGAGGCTGCAGCGATTGGCTACACAAGAGCTGCTGAACTGCTGCTCAACAAAGGTGCATCTTCAGAGCTGGCTGACAAGGTGACATCACGAAATTTGAATGCAACCCGACGGTGACTCCGTTGCTACGCTCCTGTTCCCATAAACCTCGAATGGGTCCAGTGGGGGAATGTGTTTGTATTTCGACTTTCAAATTGATGACACTGAAACTGGGCTTGATGGCACAAACGCAGCAAGGATGCCATATGCTGGCAGGAGTTATGACTCAACGTAAGAAAAGTACACTTCCAGCTTGTTTAGTGTTCACCATCAACATGCGTTTGGGCTTTCCCGTGCTCGTTTTGCAGTGCATCCATCGCGAGCACTTTAAACACCTTGAAAGACGTAGGCACAGGATTCCAGGAACTAGATCGCAAGGGTGCCCACCCAAACATTTGTGTGTGCACACTGCTACAGGCTTGCAATGGTGAATGGGCTGAAATGCTCCTGTGGGTCATTGCAAGCATCCGCAGTTGGCCTCTTGAAACAGTAAAGTGTGTGTCACCAGTGTGTGTTTGCTCCTAAGTGTTGAGGCGCATGCCCTGCTTGGGCCACTGCTGAGGCTTGTGTACCGCTTTTAGGAGGGACGAACCGCTGCATCCCTTGCGAGGTCCAAGGGGCATAACGAATTGGCCGAGATGTTGGAAGCTGCATGAATCGTGCAGATGCTTATTGTTCTCGCACGGCTGCACGCTCTTTGATGCTAGAGGCGTGGCCCAAATCGCATCTGACTGCTTCATTTCACCGTGGATTCCATTTGCTGCCTGGTGTTCGCCAACTACTAGCAGTCTCATGCTGTGTTCGTGGTGCTGCGATGCGGTTTTGCATAACCGGATCGACTCTGGTGGTGTAGAGCGAAAGCCCGCAATCGGTTCAGGTGCACCATAACACTTTGGATAGGCCCAGACCACGCAGCGCTCATGCAATGCGCCGGAGATCCACGTATTGGAAAACAAGCGCTTAGTGCCCATTTGGTGGTGCTGTTGGCATCATGCCAACGCCGCTGGCAAACCTCCATTTGCGCAGATGTGCCACCCTTTGACAACGCTGTTGGCAAGACGAGGGGATGCGCTGCCCATAGTTCTTTGAAGCGGATAACACGTTCACTCAACACAAGGTGTTGCGATAGTTCCAACGAACGTAGATAGATGGGACTGATGACGTTCGAGGGCGAGGGAAAGGAGATGTGAAGGCCGCCAACGGTCCTGGTGTGATGTCATTCCAACGATGGTGTTGCTGCTTGGGGGCACTGATGCCACCACAAACTGTATTTGTAGTTGGGATCCAGACGGATTCAGGGTAATGCTCCACGCTCGTTTGTCCCTAAAATACCCGGTAGAGCACACAAACATGGGCGCCCGCAGTTTGGCTTGCGTGCAATCGCGGACGTAGATCGCCAGCAGACACTTGATACCTGCGAGCAGTATCCCCTGTCGCCTGCAATGATCTGTTTACTCAGCAGCCTTCAAGCAAGGTTCAGATGGGCAAAGAACCGCCGGCTAACTCGCCTGGCGCAAGGCGAAGTGCCAGCGGACAGAGTGCCGGCCGTCAGTCGGTCTCGACCATCAGGTCCTACTCGAGCGCGCCAGCTGTCGACCATCGTCCACCCCAACATCGCGGTTCGTCGTCGTCCATCACGAACTAAAGCACGATAACTCCGCCCATTACGAAATCCAACGGCATTCAGTGCACCGTGCTGCAATGGCGCGGCTGGCACCTGCCGCCCACCCCGTCCACGACTGACTAAATGGCGTTCGCCCATCACTCGCCATGTACTTCAACACAGCTGCGTCCCGTCTGAGGTTTCGAGCACGGCGCTCCAATGTAATCTTTGCTCACCATGGCACAATCCCAGAGAGTGCGATATGCCTTCTCCCTTATCAGCCATCCCGAGGCGGTGATGGAATGGACAACATCCGGATGATTCACAGTTGCAGTGGGCACAGCCCTCTTTGGTAAGTTCCGCCAACTTCTCACAGGCAATTGGCTCATTCGCTCGCCTCTCTTCAAAGCAACTAGATACTCCACACTGTGGTCCGCCCCCAGTTCCTACAGTACCTGAATTGATTTTTGACAACGTACTCCAAACACATAAATACAGCTTCGGTCGAAATTCTGTTAATAATCGTTATTTGCGACGGAAAAGCAATGCGCCAAAATCACACATGAAGTATATGGCATTAAATGTGGGAGGGGGGAAGTAATTGTGTGGTACTAGGTGTGTCGGCAGTGTGCGGGTCACACGAACGTCACACGTCCCGACGCCACCACGGCAAACCACTATCTGCCAAAATGTATGCTGTTTTCTGTGTATCGGTGCTGTGCGTACTGCGCAATTGTCATAGGATGCTCAGTGCATCCCTGGAATCTGGAGAGGCCTGCGTACGCCTCCGTAGTGACTGCTACGGCGGGCATCCCTTACAAGCATGAGCCGCGAGGGAGCGCGTCCAACACAAGTCACAATTGGAAATTTTGAGCTCCTGCAAGTTCCATGCCGGAAAAGTACCGTATCATACGATACGAGGGGTCCCATGAATTCGTTCGTTTCTTGTATATTGAATATGATAATGGCATTGTATTTTCGAAATTCACAACCAGAATCCATTCTTTTCTATGAGTTGCTTATTGGGTCTGTGTGGGATCTGTTTTCTGACGGGGGATGCGCTCATTGCGCAATAAATGCACAACCTCCCACATCAATCAGATTTTGGTGGGCCAGCATGAGCCCAAACCGCATCTGCGGAGGCTGCGCGTTCCATGGCACATGCATGTGCCATGCCGCGTCAATCATGATTGACGGGCGTCGTCCCTGAAAAGCCCCACAACCTCGATATCGAGTATGATTTGACGGCCGCAGCCTGGATGCCTTTGCGTCGCGTGACGCCTTCCCCCGTCGCGAGGATTCCCCTGAGCCCCCAATCTACGGCGTCAAGCCCAGCGGTATCCCCCACGTGGCGCCACGCGACCCCAGATATTTGTGGAATACGGCCGCCATAACCTGTGATATGGGCACCAAACCCTGAATTTGTACATACAGGATAAGCAAGCTTCATATGATCTGTCGGAGAGCGACATCGGTTCAATGTGGCTGGCGAGTGTGGAGTTTTTGATTTACAGTAGAATGAGTATTCTCCATTGAATATTCAAGACACGATGTGCAGTTTTGGGTGCAGATTCCTTGATTGAGAAAGCATCCTCAGAAGCAAAAATACTGGTGTTGACATAACACGAGCACTTAGGTGCTCGTTGAGATCTTTAAATCAATTCTTATTTTGATGACCAAACACTACTTGACAGTACATAGTGCTCACCCACTGTACTGTGAACTTTTTGGCCACGGTTGGCAGAGTGTTGTAGTGCGACTGCCCCCAATGCACCCAACTCAGAAATTGGCCCACTGCCTTGCACGTTCCACCAACGCATTGACTGGGCCCACACCTCAAACAGCGCAACCTACCTTTTCAGTTAATAGCCAACCCGAGGCTGTTATGCTATGGACATGAACACTATCGGGAAGGCTCTCAGATGCACGCACACATCCCATGTTGATAAGTTCCACCAGTTTCTCGACAGGCAATTCACTCATTTGCTGAGATCTCTTTACAGCAAATAGACAATCCACACACCCAACACTCACACCACCAGAAACAATGTGCTGGTGCATTTGAATTCGCTCTTATCAGGACAAGACCCAAATTCAGCATTTTCATGACAAAACCGACGACATTGGCCAAATGAGAAATTTGCAGATCATTGGTCAATAAATTGCAACAATCTTATGCTGCGCAATGTAGTCGGTATGGATGACATCCTATTGTAATCACTACAGTACGGCATGTGAACATGACAGAATGCGAAGTCATCCAGCATGCCCCGCGGAGTGTGCAACAGGCGATTGTGCAAATGTTACCAGCTCTCCATCTCCCATTGACTGGGGAACTACT